TTTTGTCTCATTATTTCTGTCAATTCGAACAATTCAAAAAGTGACCATAATGGATTATCCACTAAAGCATTGTATGAATTGTTAAATTGGAAGATGTATTTATCACCAACTGGTCTTAATTGATTGAAATCACCCAAAACTATGACTGATACTCCGCCAAATGGTTTTTTGGACTTCATTATTTGCTGCAAACGTGCATCGACGTGTTGAAACATTGTAAAACCAACCATTGATATTTCGTCTATTATTAGTAATTGTAGATCTTTCAATTTCACTCCAATTCTATTTGAAATATCACTGTCTAGTTTAACGAGTTTATGTTTGCATTGATTAACTGGTAAACTTAAAAATGAATGCAACGTCATTCCATCAATTAGTGCTGCTGCTTTGCCAGTTGGCGCACAGATTGCAGTACGAATAGTTTCAGGATTAGATCCAGGAAGAGAATTATAAAATCTCAGTATCGATTGATATACTGCTTTGATCAAAGTACTTTTGCCAACACCTGCACCGCCATTAATAAAATGAAAAAATTGCTTATCTCCATTTTTTATCAAATTCATCACATTTAAAGTATATCTTCTTTGATTGCTATTGAGACTTCTCATCAATCGCTGATAATCAGCATCTGGTATCATTTTGGGAACATTAAAATGTTCGATTTTTTCAGTTCGAGTATTTATTCTCATTTCAACAAAGATATCGCCTTCATTATTTCCTGTTTATAAATAAGAAATTCATTTTTATCTTGATCATATTCAATATTTGTATCGTTGATATCATTTTCATCTTCTCTATCCATGTTCTCTTCAAAAGCTTGCTCAAATTCATTGGCTTCACGATGAACATATTCAGATCTTTTCTGTCGAATCAAATCTTTATTTAATTCAAATGTCTCTTCATGATTTATATGAATAAGATCCTTTTCCTCATTACTCCATGGCAGAAATAGCATCAGCTGCTCTCTGTAATAATTTTCAGGATCTTGATGTAGCTTAAAGTTTCTGAATCTTATTATTTTTTTCTTTGTTCTTTTTTTAATCCATCCTTTTCCATTTTTCATCTTTAGAGCAACACTTTTTTCATCAATTTCATTGTCAATGACATCTTCATCATCAGAATTTTCCGTAATCTGAACGTTGTTTGTTTGTTTTTTTGATACATTATACAATGAAGCAAAATCAGCCAAACAGATATTTTTCATTTCTTCAGGCCTATTTATATACATATCAATTAAGCCTTGAACAAAAACATCTTTTGAATCAGGCTCCAGTTTCTGAAGAACCTCATCTGATTTGACCATAGAAATTCTGTTTTCGGGTCTATTCGTATTAATAAATACAGTACTTCTGCTGCTGGTTGAAAGTGGAATACTTAAAATATGATAGACAGCTTCTTGTGCTGAAATTTCACTTGAATTCAAAAATTTATTTG